CAGTGTGGTTTATTTGCCCTTTAATCCAGTTAACAATAGGAATAGTATCACTTTCTGCCAAAGTAGACCAGTATTTCTCAATCACGTAATGCCGACAATGAGAATTTTTTTAAAGCTAGTCTAAATTTATATAAATTCAATATTTCTTTTGGATGGCATGGACCATTAAAATTGGAATACTTCCGATTGCTACAACGACCGAACAATTCCACATCAATATATTTCATTATCTCTTTAATTAATTTAAATCGTCTACCAGCATCATGGCAATTACTTATAGATGCATACATGGTTCTGTTTTTGTTTTTTAAAGACACAAGCGGTGGCGTTGGCGTGTTCTTGGTTTTAGACACATAACCTCCATAGGAGCCAAGAATAGTTGAAAAGTTCCTGTAGGAAATAGTCCAATCAAACATCCCATTCATCCAATTATAATTCTTTTTTATCAAGGCAGTTGGTTCAAGAGTATATAGAATCCATGGTTGTCGACGAACTCTTAGACCTGGTATATCATTAATGTCTATATCAGCGTTATGAACTATAATGGCGTCACTCAGCGGAAGATTCCCTCGATTATGGGTTGCTGTACATGCGTAATCACAATTTTGTAAACCACTATTTATTTCATTAGCCCATTTTCTACTGTTTTGAAAAATGGTGTCCTTGCTAGTATCTTCTTTGTTTTTCTTGTTGAATTGTTGAATATGTCTTCAAATTTATAAACATAATTGTCCTCTTCAACATGTCCTAAATTGTAAGCCATCCGTGGAATCAAAGTAAATTTAAAATCCAAAAAGGCAAGCACTAGTGTCAGACAACTTATCGACGAGACAGCAAAGTATAGTGTAAGTCTAGGTCTCTGATATTTCATTTGGTAACCGAAGTAACTGCTGGTGTTTAGCTAATCGTTATTTTCTTAATATGTTATAAATGAAGTAACTGCTGGTGTTTAGCGTAATCGTCTTATGTGGTAACTCATGTAAACCGTATTGGTATGAACTGATGTATAGCGTGCTGATCGTCTATAAAATACGATAAAATTATGTTACTTTATTTTAGCAGATGAAATAACTTCTGATGTACAACGTCACGATTAAGATCTGAAAAAAACATTTCTGTGACAATTTCGGTAATAGCTACTATAGACTGCTAGTTCAAGATATAACTGGCCTTATAGACTGGCAATGCCTCAAATAGGTCGTTAGAATCAGTAATCAGTAATCAGTAATCGAAAGAAAAATAAACATGTGTGATGTTGTACTGACAAAAGAACCACAAGTATTATTGATTGATAATGTTATATTTAACATTGCCATAAAAGCGGGAGGTTTGGCTAGCCACAAAACCAGGTTTAACCCACTTTTTTTTTCTTAAACTGTCCTGTACCAAGTCAGGATTATGGCCATTGTTATATTACAGTTCGTTTCTGTGTGTGTTACATTTTGATGTTGTGTTTCTGTTGTGTCGTAGTTCTCCTCTTATATTTAATGTGTTTCCCTCAGTTTTAGTTTGTAAACCGGATTTGTTTTTTTCTCAATCGATTTATGAATTTCGAACAGCGGTATACTACTGTTGCCTTTACTTTGCAAAAACTAATACATTGTTGACGCCGCCGCTGATAACAGTAGGCCGAAAATTCAATAACAGGCCTAGGTCATTTAAAACATTAACCTTTGAATTATGTGCTAAATAGATATCAGAAGATGTGGTATGAGTGCCAATGGGACAACTCTCCATCCACGTCACAATTTGTAAAAGTAAACCATTTTAGGTCAAAGTTCGGATATAAAGACCATTTTCTTTATATAAAGATTGATTGCTGTTGTTGTTGGTTAGTATTTAACGCCAATTTCAGGGCACATGACTAGTTATGGCGACCAGATTTCATTAATGGAGGAAGCCGTAGTACCAGGAGTGAGCTACTGACATCCCGTACGAAAACTGACCGATGGTGGTGGGTCACTTATATGATTGAGTCTGTTTTGAATACAATATGTAATTTATCCCATTTGTTTACATTTAACATCCCAGTTTCTAAGCATGTGACGATAATCCAAAGATAGTCTTTCTACCATTTGTTGTGGCTCCAACATATTTGGCGGCCGAACTTGCGACTTTGGAACTGTACAGTATGCTTTAAAGTGACCTGTTGACCTGAGACATTTTTAGAATAACCTTGTGACCAGAGTCATTTTTAAACTAACCTTGTGACCAAAGGGGTAAACTATTTGAAGTTTTAAAAATACATGTTTACTGGCCTGTTTATTGGGGTTGGTGGCTCTACTCCTTTGAAAAAGTATCATTTTCTTCAAAATATCTAAATATATGATATATTTATATAATATGAATGTTTGTCAACTTTTAATTGTGTATGCTTTTGTGAATATTGTCATGTTTGTCTTAGTAACAATCGAATATTTGGATTTTTCACCAAAAAATAATTTTATTTGATTTATTGCATTCGAAATTCTTCCTTGTGCATTTATGATCATTCAATTATTTTACTTGGAGTGTTGTAAAGCAAAAGCGTAGAAACATGGAATATAGCTTTCCTTATGTGCGAGTTCTGAACTTTGAATTTTGAATTTTGAATTTCGTTTAATTGGTATTAAGTTGATTAAAATCTGACATGAAATGACACGACAATATTTGTTTTGAAAAAAAAAAAACGTTTTTTTAAGAAATATATAAAGAAAAAAATAATTGATAAGTGACGATTACTTATTGCATATATCATTATGAAAAACATAATATTAACCTTATCATAAATGTTTTTTTTTACCTATAGCTATCTGATGAAATTACGGCTGTAATTTTAATCGCATATCTGCGAGTAAAAATATAATTAGAATCAGAAAATTGTGATTTAATCAGCAGTGTTATTATCATAATTTGTACTATTATTTGTCTGTCTTTTTATTTTTGGCCATGACGTTGTCAGTTTGTTTTCGATCTATGAGTTTGACTGTCCCTCTGGTATCTTTCGTCCCTCTTTGGTAATTCTTAAATATCATACATTTCAAACTTGAAATAGTTACATATTCCAGATCTCTTCCCTACCGCTCATTACTAAGTAAGTAGGAAAGTCCCCCCCCCCTATTTGAGATATCAAAATGTTTACACAAAAACACATACAAAGATTTAAATCCATAATCTTTTTAGAGGGGGTTGACCCTCATCCTTGAGTATTCCAAACGCCATTTCGTACGGCATGTACGGTAACCCTCAAAATACAATTATTCGCCATTGATAAATGCGGAATACAAATATTGTAAAAACTTGTCAAAGCAAAAACGTTTAAACCAAGTCCACTTATCATCGTGCTAGTTTGAAACTATAAATACTGTCTTACCTACAATGATTAATGGAAATTAAACAATGGATTTTAAATGATTGGATTATTTAGATCGATCACTGTTCTAATATTTCACCCTGTCAACAATACCTTAATATCAATCTAATTTAAATATAGAACTCGGATTTCGTTATACTATATGTATATTTTAATTAGATTGACCTTAATATATAATTAAATTTAAATACCACTGTTTTACAATTATGCATTGTGCATTGGAAAATCTAGTGACAAAATATTTACCTCTTCTGTAAACACTGAAAACAAAATCTTTTCAATGTTTGTCCCATTTTAGCAAGGTCGCTATCAATTATAAATTCACGGGAAAACGTTCTGGTAAATAGTAATAAATTGTTTACACAGAGATATGTCTCGCCTTTTTGTTATTTTGATAATGCAAATGTCGATATCAAAATAGCAATACTTTTATTATAAATTAACATATAAGTTATGCAAATATTGAAAGTCAATGAATCATGACTGAAGGTACAGAGCTAAAGGCAATCTCCATGGAAATGAGATGTGCCAATGCTAATACAACTTCATACCAAATATCACTGACTTATCGTAAGTTGTTCCCTTTAAACAAACCTAAACACAAACATTAACTTGTAAACTATGTAAAAGTTTCAAAGTCAATGAACCATGATGAGGATTGGAGGGTGGGGGCTATAAAATCTCCATGGAAATGAGACTTGCAAATGCCAATACATTTGCATACCAAATATCATTGACTTAACATTAGTGGGTCATCTTAAACTGATCAAATCACAAACTAACACATGTGAACTAAGCAAAAGTTTCAAAGTCAATAGACCATGACTGAGGGGTAAAGACCAAATATTCACCATGGAAATGAGATGTGATAATGCTCATACAACCGAGGAACCAATTAACATTGGCCTACCACTAATGGTTCCTCTTGAACTGATCTAATCACAAACTAATACATGTATACTAAGCAAAAGTTACAAAGTCAATAGACCATGACTGAGGAGGCGGAGCCAAATAATCTCCATGGATATAAGATATGCCAATGCTGAAACAACTGCATACCAAATATCATTGACCTAACACTAGTGGTTCCCCATAAACTGACCTAATCACAAGTTAATACATGTAAACTAAGCAAAATGTTTCAAAGTCAATAGACCATGACGGAGGGAACATGGCCAAATATTCTCCATGAAAATAAAATGTGCCAATGCTAATACAACTGCATACCAAATATCATTGACCTACCACTAGTGGTTCACCATAAACTAGACCTAATCACAAACTTATACATTGTTGACGCTGCCGCCGACGCCGGAAACAGCATACCTTTGTCTCGCCTTTTGACTCCGTCAAGGCGAGACAAAAAGTGATACCTCAGGATGACTTTATGTTTAAGGAGCTATGTGAAAAAAAAGGGACAAATAAAAAATAGATTTTTTAACCTTTTTCACCGAAGACTAAAATTATCAATGTCCATTTAAGCGACAGACATTTCTTCCATTTTCAATTATTTATTATTGTAAAAGCACCACAATGTCATATTTCATTCAGCTCGAAAAGTATGAATATTTTGTACAATAAAAATCCATTCATCTATTGCAATTGGTTTCCAAATGTTAAAACCAACAGTATCAGTTACAAGTGATGGTTGAGCAGTTTTACGTTTTAATGTAATTTTTATTATATACCATTCTATAGCATGGCCTTGAAAACAATACTTCGTCGATCCAAGAATAGCACGTTATTATCCTTGGTTTTTTAAACAACATTCAAATTAATATTGATATAAACATCTAGTTATGAATAAACAAAACTGTGAAGAAGTATAAGCTGTCAAATTAATTTTAACCTAATGAATTAAGCTCTCCATTTTTTCGCTATAATGTTCTGGGCCCCTTAACTAATTATTCATCTGACCTCCTCAGACAAAGCTGTTACGGGTTTGGGTTTTCTTATTTGTCTGTTAAATTATTGACATTTCGCAGGCTAAACTTCCATGTTCAGGTTTATAAGCTTTTGAAAGTATCAACCATTATATATGTAAGATTCGCATCCTAGTTTTTGACACCGCACAATTGATTAATGATCATTTATTAAAAATGTTAAAAATTCTTCTGTCTACCCATCTTCCAGCCATTCCAATCAACTGAAAAAGAAATAATGCACATTAAAGATACATATATAAACACCTATAATGTTCTCACAAAAGCTACATGTATTTAATTATAAACAGTTACAATGTCCTCATCTTAAAAAGGTGCACACATTTATAAACACTAACAACGGTGCATCATGTAGAGCAGGGTCTGCTAATCCTGCCGGAGCACCTGAGATCACCCTGGTGTTTGGGGTGGTTCGTGTTGCTCAGTATTTAGTTTTCTTTTTTTGTGTTTTGTGGACAGTTGTTTATTATTTGTATGTTTTTTTTTCATTATTTGCCATGGCATTGTCAGTTTTTTTCGATTTATGAGTTTGACTATCCATTTGGTATTTTCCGCCTCTTTTTTATAATGCTCACACACGCTGCACATATAAACACATACACTATTCGCAAACTTGAAAAGCTACACTTATAAACACGTATGATATTCTAGTAAAGGCTACACAAAGTTCTTATAAAGCTACACACATTTCTTATGAAAGCTAAACAAGTTTTTATAAAAGCTACATAAAGTTCTTATAAAAGCTACACAAAAATCTCATAAAAGATAACACAATCAAAATCATCAATGATGCCAGCCTTATAATTTAATACGTCAGACACTCATTTCGTCAACATAAGACTCGTCATTTGCGCTCGGATCATAACAGCTGGAATGTCAAATCAATAACGAAGTTGAAAAGCATTAAACACCAAAGATTTAAAAAAGTTTTGCAAAATTGTATTCATTTGTACAGTATTCACAGAAAATGACCGCGTCAATAGAAACACACACTGTTATCATAATAGCTACACATATGAACACTTAACAGTTCCCGTGAACATTTACAACGTTGTCTTAAAGCTACACACACAAACACAAAAAAATATTATCATAAATGCCACACATATAAGCACCTACAATGCTACCATAATGTTTTAAAATTTTACCCCTCCCCCTTTTTCCTCTTCCTTCGTTCTAATTAATCATGTAATATTTGTCACTGGACTTAAACCTAATACTATTTAAAAATCCATTTGTCATTTTGAACAATAAAATATGTAAAAAGCCTCGCCTTTCGGCATGTCACTTAAGCTCATAAAAATAAATTATATATTTTCCAACTATGTACTTATATTGTATTTATACTACAATTATACTTGGTGCTTTTACATATAATAGTTAATTCTCGATCGTTGTTTAATTTGAAAAGAAATAGTCTTAGCTTAAATGCGGACCGCGAAGAGGACTCTAATATGAACTATGGCATAAACAAAATTTGTTTAACAATACCGTGGCAGGATAACATGATATTTTATTTGTTCACTTAAGGAATGACTGTAATATTTTTTCTGTCTATGAAGAAATAACATCAAAAATATGGTGCACACTGAATAACCTGCGTAGCGGTTTATTGAAAAGTGTGCACCAAACTTTTGAGGTTATTTCGAGTAGACAGAAAAAATATTACAGTAGTCTTTCCTTACAATTTAATTCTAAATTCCATTTTTAAGGAGCAAATCATGAAAAAACGTTGATGACATGACAAAATTATGTCTATGAGCTGATAGACAATTAACTTTCAGCCAATTAGAAGACGTGTTACACCCAAATTAAGTTATATACAAATAAAGCAAAAATGTATCTGTGTATACAATAATTGGCTGATTGTAGGAATAATATACCGGTATGACTAAAATCCTTTAAATACTGTATTGTTTGTATCTTTAGATGAAATGGTCTTCTTTTTCTGTTGTTGGCTTGCTGTTTCATTGACACTGTACCCGTCATTTCCTTTGATTCTTATCATGAAAATACTGATATTATATATCATTATAGAGTTTATAAAAGGTGGACGGTTGAGTGATAAAAACCTGTTGAGTGATAAAAACCTCGTTTACACCCACCACATGGGCCTGTTCCAATTTATGAACGTCGTTAGTGGTTGTCTTAAGGATGTTCGCAGGTCTTGTTTTTTACTTTTAATCAGATATTCGGAATCCTCTCGTTTGATCCATGTTGTGCGATTAGAAAATTTACCCGCTAACCCTTACTTTTCTTTTCATAATTTTTATACATATAGTTTAAAAAGCTATTTTTCGAAATCTTATAAAATCCTTGTTTTTTTTCAGTTTTTGAAAGAATAAAGGTGCCAATGTTCAACGTATGAAAAATATAGAGATATTATTTCCCGCCAAATTTTGAGAAGGTTATATCCAAAAAAAAGAAGGAAACATATACCTTGCATTGTTTATGCTTTTTGAGTTCCGTTATAATTATATATGCTATCAATGTACAACAGTCGTTTAAAAAGCTAGTTACTCTGAAACAGAGTAGCAAACATCCTTGAATTATATCCTTTTTTCATTATCTTTACGGGAAAGGAAGAAGTATGATAAGGGCCATTATATCGCCCCTGAAATTGCAAAAATAGTACACGTATTCAACCTTTTCAAAATAATGTTAATTTTATCGATAAATAAACAAGTTGGTATAATCTGGACAATTAAGTGCGTATTTTCCTTTTTTGACCTAAAATGGCCATTTCATGCAATTTCTTCAAGATACATAAGAGCAACAGCTTTACCCAAACAGATTTTTTATACCCATTAACATTTTGAAAAGTACTTTTTGTAGCAAAATACCTTTTTGGGTAAAGATGTTGGTCATAACTTTAAAATTCTCAAATGAGGATATTTTGACAGTTTTTGGTATTTTGCACTTAATGCAACCAGTCTTAATCCCTTGTGCCAATATATAAGACAAAATTCAAAAATATAAATACTGACTTTTGACAGACTTATGTCTTATGAACAACCGAAGGCTGTTATTTGATAGATTTATAATACTTTTTGAATTTCGAATTTAAGGGGCTAAAAAGCGGCCTTATCAAAATCCTCCTTTGGTGTTCTTAATTCAAGGGGCTAAAAAGTGGCCTTATTAAAATTCTCCTTTGGTATTCCGAATTCAAGGGGCTAAAAAGTGGCTCATCATACCTTCACCTTTTGTATTTCAAGTATTTCGCAACTTTTTTGTGCTACGAACGAGTTATATATGATACATACTATCCTAGGCTTGTCAATTTTAAAATTCTGTATAGACCATTTCGCCGTTTCAGAATCTAATGCATTCTATGCACTATTTTCAAAAGTGTACACCAAAACTTCATGAATGGTAAGAAACATCCTACATAATGGAAATTTAACCAATGACGTGACGTTATTTTTATTTTGGTGTACGGACAATTAAATTATCCATAGACCTTTAGATTCTGAAACGATCAATCGACCTTATAATAAGATGTCTATTTGGTTTGTTTTGGTTTTTTGTTGTTGTTGGGTTGCTGTCTCGTTGGTGTTTAATCCACATTTTCTTTCAGTAATAAAAAGAATAACTTACGCTGTATTTGGTACATGTATCTTCTTTGAACCATCCCCCGAGGTCCGTATATACCTGAGATTGGTATGGTTTGTGGAGTTTTTCACATAGCATGCAATAATCGCTGTTAGCTTTCCCAAGTTGGTATTTTTTCTTCCATTCAAAATACTGTTGGAAAAGAGTCTCGTTAGTACTCACTTTCTCTATATAATTAACAAAATCAGTTATGTTTTTGAAGTCAAAGAAATTTATATACGAATTTGGTATTACAGTTGGGTTTATTTGCCCATGAATCCAATTAACAATAGGAATAGTATCACTTTCCGCCAAAGTACTCCAATATTTTTCAGTCACGTAATGACGACAATGAGAATTTTCAAAAGCTAGTCTAAATTTATATAAATTCAATATTTCTTTTGGATGGCATGGACCATTAAAATTAGTACACTTCCGATTGCTACAACGGCCGAACAATTCCACATCAATATATTTCATAATCTCTTTTATCAATTTAAATCGTCTACCAGCATCATGGCAATTACTTATAGATGCATACATGGTTCTGTTTTTGTTTTTTAAAGACACAAGCGGTGGCGTTGGCGTGTTCTTGCTTTTAAACACATAACCTCCATAGGAGCCAAGAATAGTCGAATAATTCCTGTAGGAAATTGTCCAATTAAAAATCCCATTCATCCAGTTATAATTCTTCTTTATCAAAGCAGTAGGTTCCAGAGTATATAGAATCCATGGCTGTCGACGAATTCTAAGGCCTGGCATATCATTAATGACTATATCAGCGTCATGAAATATAATGGCGTCACTCAGCGGAAGATTCCCTCGATTATGGGTTGCTGTACATGCGTAATCACAATTTTGTAAATCATTATTTATTTCATTAGCCCATTTTTCTACTGTTTTGAAAAATGGTGTCCATACTAGTATCTTCTTTGTTTTTCTTGTCGTATTATTGAATATGTCTTCAAATTTATAAACATAATTGTCCTCTTCAACATGTCCTAAATTGTAAGCCATCCGTGGAATCAAAGTAAATTTGAAATCCAAAAAGGCAAGCACTAGTGTCAGACAAATTATCGACGAGACAGCAAAGTATAGTGTAAGTCTAGGTCTCTGATATTTCATTTGGTAACTGAAGTAACTGCTGGTGTTTAGCTTATCGTTATCTTCTTAATCTGTTATAAATGAAGTAAATGCTGGTGTTTAGCGAAATCGTCTTATGTGGTAACTCATGTAAACCGTATTGGTATGAACTGATGTATAGCGTGCTGATCGTCTATAAAATATGATAAAATTATGTTACTTTATTTAGTAGATGAAATAACTTCTGATGTACAACGTCATGATTAGTATCTGAAAAAACATTTCTGTGACAATTTCGGTAATAGCTACTATAGACTGCTAGTTCAAGATATACCTGGCCTTATAGACTGGCAATGCATCAAATAGGTCGTTAGAACCAGTAGTTGAAAGACAAATAAACATGTGTGATGTTGTACTGACAAAAGAATCAACAAGTATTATTGATTGATAATGTCCAGTGGAAAATATTTCATGCATATTCAGGTCAACAACAAACTAATTCTGAATGTTATGTTCTGACAAGTCACTG